TGGAAATGTCTGAGATGTACAAGTGTACGCTATAATACGTCATTTCAGATACGGTCAAAATTTTAATTTGTGTTAAGGATCCTTTGTAGGCGCAATGCCCATAGCCATAGACACTTGCCCTTAAGTGCCTTAAGTTAATTTGGGAATACTAGTGACAGATTAGCTAAACAAGTTAAGGTGTGTAGCGACATTTGTAAATTTTTATATAGAGTACATGAAAACAAAATAGAAGAAAAAGAATGTTGGTATTTCATTTTAAAATTAAAATATTTTTTAATGAAATATAATAAACATTTTAAAAAATAATCTTATTTTTAAATGAAAGGTAGAGTGTTGAAAACCACTGGACTAGCCAAGATCTAACAACATTGATGTAGGCCCAAAAATATGGTTTACATTTATTGTATATTGTTAGCCTAAATATATTTACTCATTAATTTGATGGGGGCATTGTTAGTTATTTTTATTTTATAAAAAAATAGAAATAAAATTTTAATATTTCATAATTGAGTTTTAAAATTCTAATCATTGAAGATCGTCCAAAGGGAAAGCACTAAGAATATTTAAAATATAATCAAATCAACAAATATGGCGACAACAGAGACAGCTGTGTCCAGCTCATGGCCTCTGTGCTTACGTCGTAACTGTACTATCATACTTGTCTTTCCTGCACAATAGCTTAGTACTCATGAGGAGACAAGGTCATATAGATGTAAAAAAACTATTAATTTTATATCGTAATTTGTCTTAGGAGCTGTGTCGTCCAATTAAAAATAGGCTTATTATGGTAAATTAACTCTTGACTCTTGAGATTCACTCATGATTCAGGTGGTGAGTAGACTGAGAAGGAAGTAACTTGTCTTCAATTGCGTGAATTCTGCTTCTAAATAAAATTTTAAAATTAGGCCTAAGCCTCATTTTTTACGATTTTAAATTGTTTTTATTATGTACCTCACAATATCAGCCTAAATACCATAATTGAAATTGGGATATGACCCTCCACGCCCTTCCAGTTAATAAAATTTTTAAAATGCTGGTTTGTGAATTAAGGCTTATTTTGTGCCTCTTGAGTGCCTGGAAGCAAAAATACGTACTAATATATATTAAGTGTGCAATAACACTAACTATAAAACAACGATAGAAATGGAAATTTACGCACAATGTTTACATTTAAATATAATATTAAGCACTTTGGTGATAGCCTCCTTTTGTGTGTGGGTTTCCTTCTAGACAACACTGAGTAGTATTGAGCAATGTTCCCTTTAAGCTGCGCGGCCGTGCAGCTATCTCACAGACGCGGCGGTTCTTTAGTATCCGCGCTGCAAATTTCCATTAAAGTGTGTGTTTGTGGGCTGTAAAATTTTGCACACAAAAAAATTGATGCTGTAAAACTTTGCACACAACTGTATAATTTTGCACACGAACCAGCAAACCTTAGAGGGAACATTGGTAGTGAGTATGGCGGACAGAGATTTAAAAACGCTCTTATTGAGAAATGCAGTTAAGCGAGTAGCCATTATTGCGAGGTGCTACTGTAAATGTATATGGCATCAACATATAATTATAATATATCAATATATCATATTGATATTATTTGTTAGACTCAATTTTTGTCAATAGAATTAGGCTTAATTATTAAAAGATGACCATTTTTAAAAAAAATGAAAAACCAGGACATTTTTAATTTTTAAAACCAGGACATTTAGGCCTAATATCTTTGGCACAATGACCACGGGTCTCCAAAATGAATTTTTTTGTGTCATTACATGGAGTACTCTTTCGTCAGTGAGGTGTTTAACATAAATAATTGATCATGATGCCAATTTGAATTAATTATATTGTAATATATTTCTTTTAGTTGTGTTATTTATACCAGTCCTGTCCTGGCCCTGGTAAAATTAGTATGAATGGTCACATTGAACTTATCATTGAATCATACATTTTAGAATCAATTGTCAATAGGCCTAAATATTGTTTACTTAATTTTAGTAATTTAGCTTTAACTGTCTTTAAATTTTTAGCAACAAGTCTGATTGAGTTTGGATGCCATGTAAAAAATACTTATAAAAGTAGTATAGTATAGCTTAATATAACAAATAATAGGGCCTAGCCATATTATATTTTTAGTTTAAAGATGGTATTTTCTAATTAATTACCGGATCACACATATTATAATATTAACCTAGAAGCAGAGGTCTCAATTTACTAATATTTCTAAACCAGTAAGGCCTAATACTTATTTATTATGTTTGTGCTATCTTTGACTTTCAAGTTGTCAATGTGTGATTACAATTCAGTTTTTTTCCCAAAATTATGTTCTGTGTCCGTCCTTTCTTTTTTGACGTCATATAGGCCTAGATTTGGTTAGATTTCTTTTTCATTTACAATCATCAAATTTGAGAAAACGCTTGGTTAACATAGGACATCTTTCATCATTAAGATTAGTTGAAGTTTAATATATACCCTTTACATTTTTATTATAGGCCTCTTGTATGTATTGATCTACATGTATGCCAATTTTCATAGCGCTATTTGTTTTACGCCATGGTTCTACATTTGAGCAGCATATTATGTAGGTCGCCCTCCCCAACTGCACTTGTATGTGAACATGCCCCCTTCTTAATGGTGGAAGAGGGCAACACCTAGGAAATATTCAATTATTACCACTATTTACATTAAAAAATTTGGTTAAATTGTGTTTCAGAATGAAATTAGTAGGCATTTAAACAATAGTATTTAAATTTGAGTTTTAAAAATCTGATAGAGTCCATATTATAAATTAACATAATTTTCCATGTCAAAACGTTGTAATGGGCAGCTATTCACAGCTACTTGCATGTGCTATTCTCATTACTATTGTACTGTGGTATTATTTTCATAGTTTCATTCATAAGAGATTTCAGCGTGTACAATTTTTTAAATCATCAGTCAGGGAAAGCTTTAATTAATTAGTCAAGTGCACATGTTGAAAGATCAAAATAAGTAGTCCCAAACCAGTAATTTTTTTAGGGGGACACCTTGCCTTCCATAGACTGTATATATCATGGACACAGACTTGGTAAACAGAACATCCATGTCATATTTATTACATTTACTTATAATCATATTACATACCTAGATAATTTACAATTTATTTATAATTGCATAATAATAATGTTAAAATTAGAACTATTAATAAACTGAAATAAAAGTGGTATAAAATTATCATTTAAATAAGAGTTATAGCGCACAACATGATCAGCAGAAATGGGTAACAAAATCTGGAGGTGCAGTCCATAGTAAAAGTTACAAATGAACTCGCACATTAAAAATCCATCGCTCAAAAAGTACTAAAGCTAAAAAGTTGGTTCTGGTTTTTATTTGAAGTAGGTTCTATAGAACAGTGATATTTTTTAAATTTACGGAATTTTTAAATGTCTTATTGAAGTACCTACCTAATGTCAGTAATGATGAGCAATGAACTAAACACTGAGAAGTGCCATGGTCATGACTGTTTGAAATTTATGTGGGAAATATAAAATAAAGTTAATTTTAATGGAAATTTTAAAGCTAGATCCTTGATATTACTCTCTGTATTTAATAATGAGCAAACTATAGTAACTTAATTTTATGTTTATTTTTATTTAAAGTAGTAATTATTTAAAGGCATATTACATTATTGACATTATGAAGCATTATTATCTTGTTATTAAGAGTCTGCAATTTATAAAAATTTATTGGCTTAAATCCAAGCAGAATAAAATAATGAATTTCCCTTGTTGAATATGAAAATCACCATGTTTATTTTTATTAGAACATCAATAATCATTTAGGAAAAATAGATTCAGGATTTATTTTTTTTCAATGTGATAGAAGCACCACAGTTTGGCTGCTCAGAGTGCATATTAAGGGTTTATCATTTGTGGCTACATCAATGTTGGATGGAAAAATAGATTCAGGAATTTTTCGGGTTGAATATAAAGTTAGCTTAGTTGTCTCATTACCAGATAGCAACTTTTAGTATGATAGAAGCACCACAGTTTGGGTTTAAAGGGGAAATGTAGGTAAAATAACAATTACTTAATTTATGATTATTTAATCCATTATAAGCTTCACAATAAATTTAAAAAAAAATATTTTATGACTTCAATTCTTCAATTCTTTAATTAGCATCAATGAGAGAATGAAGTTAAATTTTTAAATAGCAGAGATATACCTGATAGTTGGGTGCAAATCAGTCACCAGCTATTTTTAGCCCACCCGAACGGAGGATCAAAGAATCCAACGCATCTGATGCTTTAACTTAGTGTGTCAGCTATAATCCCAGCTTTATCAAAGCCTACTGTGTTAGATCAGTATTTTTTTTTATTAAGACATACCTTTAGCTGTAGCAACAGCTTGGAATGGTAACATATTTGAGCTACACTCTTAAGTGAAGAGGAATAAATCTAATTCTAATAGAGGCGAAATGTTTCAATTTTCATGTCAGGAGCTGAGCTAGTAACATTTATAAGAATTTACTAGAAATTGAAGGGCATATAAAATAATTAAAGATCATTCAAAATGTAGTTGATTACCAAATAGTTGATGATAGTTTTCATTGGTTATTGATATTTAAATAAAAATAATTATATCATAAAGTATACATTTTTTAATGGAAAGTAAAATTAGAATGAAGTTTATTTTTAAATAACTGATTTATATTAGCTTACCTTCCCCCCCCTCCACCCCCCCCCCCGTCTTATGTCTAATTTTCCAGGGAACATAACATCATGAAGGCTTTTTCTACCACAGAAAGTATGACCATGCCTGTGTGCATCTGTAATAAGCTTAATATTGGCCTGCTGTGTCTGAAGAGGAATGCATGATTTTTGTGATGAAGAAGACAAGTACGTTGTCCACAGAGCTTTTAAGTTCATCAGCCATATGAACTGTTGAGATTGACAATAATTAGAGGTGCTGAGGAGAAAATGCCACTGCCCTTTTGGAGTTACTCTGGCATTGATTTCATTTCGTGGCATTACTTCATTTTAATTTACCAAGATGCTGTGCAGAGTATATCAGATCATGTGACCGTGGTGCTGGTCTCATTCCTAGCTGGTGTGATTGCGTTGCTCCTTCTCCAGGGTTTTCTCCTGTACGGCATATTCAAATCTTCACCACCCAGTCCAATGCCAAAATGTAAAGAGGAGCACAAGGTTAAACTCCCTGAGGTAAGTTATATAATCTCTTTCAGGGTTTATAATGCAGCCATGTTCAGGTCCACACCGTTCAGGTCCACACCGTTCAGGTGCAGACCGTTCAGGTCCACACTGTTCAGGTCCACACTGTTCAGGTCCACACCGTTTAGGTCCACACCGTTCAGGTCCACACCGCTTGTTTGATCGTATCTACTACCAGTTATTTCTAAATTTATTTATTAAGATAAGATAAGATTCTTTTATACATGGCTTCCTTCCGTCTTCCCGAGACAATGGAGTAGCTATGTAGACTTCAAAGAATGGCCATTCCTGGAATGGTAATCTCGACTGCATTTATTGATCCAAATTAAGGGAAATATTCCTGTTTCCATTGTGCACATTAATTTTCCTTATAATTGTTATGTCACATAATTTGTTTTGTAGTAGAATCCAAACTAAGGGTTCTCTGGTATGATCTGAAATTAGAACGTGGTACAAAAATTCACAGTGGTCACATCTGAAAATCAGACAGATATTTAAATGTTACAAAAATGTTGACCACTTGGAAATGAGTTTTTTTTCCCAGATTTTTTTAATATATTAAAACCTAAATCAAGACAATCCTTAAATAGCGACTGTCTTAAAAAATAAATTTACAATAATAACTGAACAGATTGTTGCCCATATATCAATGCGTTATTTATCATCAGTTCTTGAAGTCACGCATTCATCAGCCCAACCTTAAGCATCCAGAAGATTGCATTTGGTTGAATTTCATGATACAGTTTATCTTCTCCGAAATGAAAGACTCTCTCGCAGTTCGCAGGTATGTTTGTAGGTAGAGATTAGATTTAAGAAAATAAACCGAGTATGCCTGTGCTTCTTGAGACATGATTAATAATAGAGTATTTCTTAAAAAGTTACCTTTTTTCTTTTTAACGGCACATTCTTAAATTAAGCTTTTAATATAAGAATATTCATATGGTATGGATTAAAATTTGCTATGACCATACCTCGACCTCCTCACTAAACCATGCAATTTGAATCTGCTACCTGTTGAAGAGTGCCAGCCACACTAACCCTTTCATAACTGTAGCCATGCAGCTGATTGCTATTAAACTTTATCTCACTGCCACACCAATGTTTCCTCTTCCTTGTTGGGTCATAGGGTTTTTGTGTTCATTATTCCAATTAAATAGCTATTGCCTTTTTTAATCAGTGATCATTGGGATATATTTTTAACACTTTATATTCAGCTTGTTATTTGATATTTTTGTGGATTTTTTTCTTCTCACAAGTTATTTAAATTTTTGTTCAAGGTTCATTACCAAGAAAATTCAAATGGAGTTTGAGGATTTGTTAAAAACCAAAACTGCAGTTTTTGTTGATGAGTTATATGTAAGTCATTCCTCCCTTATAAATAAGCCATTCATCAGTTATACTTAAGTCATTGTTTCTTTATTCGTAAGTCACTAAGTATTTGTTATTTATATATTCCTGTTGTATTAACTTGTATAAATGTTTTAATATTTAAATAATAAATCTTCCAATTGATATGATGTATAGCTGTTTGTATTTAAATAATGAAACTTCTTACTGATCGGATTTTGTTACCACTTCTACAAGTTGCTTCATTTTCTGTCTTCATAGCTTCGTGATTTTAGTCTTGGTGAAACGATGCCCGTTTTCTCTTCCATGTCTGTTGTAAATTGTCAAGTTCATCATGATCTTATTGAGGTAAATATTTTACAGAATTATCATGTTTACACCAAACTAAATAATGAATGAACATATCTTCACATGTAAAACTAGATCTATGTCATGTAAAAGAAGACATGACAGCTGATTGTGGCGATGTCTTTGAATGGTTATTGCTTAAGGTTCATGGCTGCTTATATACACAAAACCTAGTCTGAAAAATATGGAATCATTGTGTGTCCCCCTCCTTGTAACTGCTCTTTTATGTGAGGTAAAATCCAAGGTTGTGTTGGGAATATCACATTCCTGAGATGGAGAGAGCGTCATGGATTTTCCTGTGGTCCTAGTAAAATTATTTTATAAAACCAGAACATCTGTTTAGCATGTATAATAAGGACCCGAGGGTTGAAAACTTTTTAGGTTTGAACAGGATCTGATCCCCGGCTGGGTTTGCCATTCAGCCACTGTTTAACAGAATGTAGAGATAAATAATTGATGACCCTGGCTGGGTTTGCCATTCAGCCGCTGTTTAACAGAATGTAGAGATAAATAATTGATGACCCTGGCTGGGTTTGCCATTCAGCCACTGTTTAACAGAATGTAGAGGTAATTGATGACTGATATATCATTTAACACATTACTGTAAATGGGACAAATGAGGTTGGATAAAATCTATTAAGGGAGAAAATGATTCCTAGTCATATGAATTAATGATATGGCACTAATAATTTATTTAGTCTTGCCAAAGATATATATAATAAATAATGAATAATGGTGCTGTAATGCAATTAAAAAAATCTAATTCCTAACTAGATTAGGATGCACTCGTCTAATTAAAAAGAACACTTTCATGTCCGTCATCATTTGGAACATTTACAGCTTATGTTTTCTTGTTCGTCCATCATTTGGAACATTTACAGCTTATGTTTTCTTGTCCGTCATCATTTGGAATGTTTACAGCTCATCCTGTTGTGTCTCTTTGCTACAGGCTCTGGAACTGAAAGCAGAATTAGATTACAATGGAGGATTTCAAGTAGCCATTGATGCTGCCCTCCCCTTTGGTCGCATGGCTTTTGTTTCTGTGAAAGTGCTCTCGCTCAAAGGCCCACTTCGTCTTCATTTCACCAAACTGCCTTTTAGCCACTGGTCGATGTCCTTCTATGAGGTGAGACCAAACACTTTTGGGTTGCATTGACACTTCTGACTGAGTTACATTGTAGTGACACAGTTACATAAGCCATCAGCCTTTGAAGAGATCCAGGTATGAGACAGTGAGAAGAAGCATTTACATAAATAGTTAAGAGACGAAGCTTTATTTTCTAATTTTTGTTCAGAGATAACAGCTCTGTAAATGTGCCTTTTGCAGTTAATTTTTCAAAAAAATGAATGTCTTCAATTACAAATAATTTTTCAAAATAGAAATTTTGTTTAAAATTTTTATGAAAAGCCTTGTGTTAAAAAAGTAATAAATTCGAATTCTCTGCAAAGCTTTGACAGTTCTATGTGTTATACAAGAAACAATCCATTTTTTGATTTGCGTATGGAAAAAAAAAAAGATTTGTATTAACCCTATGAGTTCTTTTAAATTGTATTACTCAGCTCATGGCCAATCTTTGAATAGGTATGAAGAGCACTTACCTTTATCTGCTTTTTCTTCTAGGAACCAGAGCTGGACCTGGAGGTGGTGGCACACCTAGACGGCCGGCCCATGTCGAAACTGAAAAATATCATTGCAAATCAAGTAAGTTGCAATGTGACTCAGTTGTTTTAAGTTTCATTCCCATTATTACTGTTATTTAACTATTACATTATGCAGGCTTTATTATCATAATTTTTTTTTGTTATTCTTTTGAATGTGTTAGATTCGTGGTATAGTTCGCAAGAAGCACACATTCCCAAACTACAAGATACGATTCAAACCTTTCTTCTCACCGCGCGCTGACCTGGAGACAGAAGTTGACCCCCAACTTCAGGTCGACGGCAATGACATAGGCAACGGGGTACTGGAGGTGACCGTCTTATCGGCCAGCCGTCTGCCATTTGTTCCCCCGGGATCCAGAATGTACTGTACAGTTTGTGTTGGTAGGCCAACTGTGTACATGGTAGTACTTAAAAAGCAATATATTTCAAGGTTTTGCTGTACATCAGCTAATATTCTTATAACAGTATGTATTAAGGTTTAGCTAATTGGACTAATGAAAATTTGCATTGCAGAACTATATACAAAGCAGACATATAAGGTCAGGATTGATATTATCCTTTTGTGTAATGTGCCCTTCCCCCCCCTCTCTCTCTCTCTCTCTCTCTCTCTCTCAACATTTTCAATTTTTTCCCATAGCTACAGCTGTATAATGTGTCTAAAAATATAAATACCTCTGTATGTGTTAGGATTATCCTTTCCACCTTTATACCGGTTAGTTCACTTGAGTTTTTAAGAATTGCACTGTCAGTTCTGTTTTTGTGTGTGTATATTCCATAGATAGCCTTCCTTGGAAACAATTGATGGCTGAGAGGAGGAAAAATAAGAAAATAGTCACCTTGGTTTTAGTGAAGACTCCAGCAGACCCTGCACTTGGGATGGTCGTTAAAGATGTATGTGCCAAACACTGCTGATAGTTTTAGCCTGCTGGGCCCGATTGTTGAATTTTTCAAATACATCTATATATATATATTGCAATTTGACCATTTGAAAATTAATTTTAAAAAAATAAAGAATATGTTAATATAAAACTGTAAAATAATCAATTACAAGAGTTAATTGATGTATGCACACACTAATCCATTACAACAGTTAATTGATGTATGCACACACTAATCCATTACAACAGTTGATTGATGTATGCCCACACTAATCCATTACAACAGTTAATTGATGTATGCACACACTAATCCATTACAACAGTTAATTGATGTATGCCCACACTAATCCATTACAACAGTTAATTGATGTATGCCCACACTAATCCATTACAACAGTTAATTGATGTATGCACACACTAATCCATTACAACAGTTAATTGATGTATGCGCACACTAATCCATTACAACAGTTAATTGATGTATGCCCACACTAATCCATTACAACAGTTAATTGATGTATGCCCACACTAATCCATTACAACAGTTAATTGATGTATGCCCACACTAATCCATTACAACAGTTAATTGATGTATGCCCACACTAATCCATTACAACAGTTAACTGATGTATGACCATACTATCTAAAGCTAGTTTAGATTTCTCAATTAATGTGTGCTTGAAATCTGTTAAGATGTGTTTATGGAAGCACATCTGAAATATGGCTCTACTTCCATTGCTAGCAATTAATTATAATTTAAATAAGCAAATAGTCTAATACAATGTACAAAAGAAATAACGTTGGGCAGCCAGAGACCCATGATTCTTTAAGGACCCACAAAAATACCAATAGCAAATCACCCCCCCCCCAACCAAACCACGCACACACTCACGCACACACTTTTCCCACGAACAGCGGCATTCCCGGAATGATCCCTAGGACTGATTGACAAATTACTGCTTCCAGTTATATAGGAAATGCATTATAATAAATGGGGAGGACGCCACTATGCAATAGCCCCTGATTCAGGTTCCTTTGACTGTTCCCCGTTTCACCAAACCATGGTGACATATAGTAACCCTGTATTTGCTGGTGGGTTGAAGCAGATAGGGGGATCTTTATTGGTACCCTCTTGCAAAGGTCTCCCCACTAAATTGTGGGATATCAATAAATTTCTTTAAAGCCCTAGCTGCAAGGCTTAAAAAAATTAATTGCCAGCCTTTGTTCCCCTCGCCTTGTATGCATTTCATGACAACTGATCCTCCTTGCAGAGGCAGCTCTGGTGCCCTGATGCAAACCAGGCACCGAAGTAAACAAATTAGTGTTTTTAATAATTGCACATCCACAAATCCTAGAAAAACTTCAAGAGGCCCTGCCCCCCCCCCCCCCCCCCCCTAGTCTGGGATTAAAATAGTTGATATCTGCCTACTGTCAGCTCACTGCCAGAGACAACTGGTTCATTGAAAGTAAACTGACAAGTTTCTCTGTTATGAGCATATATATTTTTCTTAATGCCCCAGGAGCTGCTACCTGATAGACTGCAACCTGTGGTTATCATTGATGAAGTTACTCCCAATTCACCAGCACATCAAGCTGGAGTGCACCAGGTGGGTCTCATTAACAAATATTTATGATGTGGATGTCTCTGACTTGTTTCAGAGCCCTATGGACAATCGTATAAAAGTGCATGTCAATTGATAAAATGTAACAGAGACAGTACCTAAATTATTTACCAGTTGTGTGAGATATTACCTTTAAATTTACCTAATTTTCTAGACAGTACCCATTTAACATCACCGATCCTTCCATACGCTTCCTAAACATTGTTCAGTTGTATAAGACAGATCCCTGCACTTTGTTCAGCTGTATAAGACAGATCCCTGCACTTTGTTCAGCTGTATTAGACAGATCCCTGCACTTTGTTCAGCTGTATTAGACATATCCCAGCACATTGTTCAGCTATATAATACAGATCCCTGTACATTGTTCAGCTACAATAAGACAGATCCCTGCACATTGTTCAGCTACAATAAGACAGATCCCTGCACATTGTTCAGCTGTATAAGACAGATCCCTGCACATTTTTCAGCTAGATAAGACATATCACTGCACATTGTTCAGCTGTATAAAACAGATCCCTGCACATTGTTCAGCTGTATAAGACAGATCCCTGCATATTGTTCAGCTAGATAAGACATAACACTGCACATTGTTCAGCTGTATAAGCCATATCACTGCACATTGTTCAGCTGTATAAGACAGATCCCTGCACATTGTTCAGATTTATGAGACAGATCCCTGCACATTGTTCAGATTTATTAGACAGATCCCTGCACATTGTTCAGCTATATAAGACAAATCCATGCACATTGTTCAGATTTATGAGACAGATCACTGCACATTGTTCAGCTACAATAAGACAGATCCCTGCACATTGTTCAACTATATAAGACAGATCCCTGCACATTGTTCAGATTTATGAGACAGATCCCTGCACATTGTTCAGCTATATAAGACAGATCCCTGCACATTGTTCAGCTATATAAGACATATCACTGCACATTGTTCAGCTGTATAAGACAGATCCCTGTACATTGTTCAGCTACAATAAGACAGATCCCTGCACATTGTTCAACTATATAAGACAGATCACTGCACATTGTTCAGATTTATGAGACAGATCCCTGCACATTGTTCAGCTATATAAGACAGATCCCTGCACATTGTTCAGCTATATAAGACATATCACTGCACATTGTTCAGCTGTATAAGACAGATCCCTGCACATTGTTCAGCTATATAAGACAGATCCCTGCACATTGTTCAGCTATATAAGACAGATCCCTGCACATTGTTCAGCTATATAAGACAGATCCCTGCACATTGTTCAGCTAGATAAGACATATCACTGCACATTGTTCAGCTTTATAAGACAGATCCCTGCACATTGTTTAGCTGTATAAGACAGATCCCTGCACATTGTTCAGATTTATGAGACAGATCCCTGCACATTGTTCAGCTATATAAGACAGATCCCTGCACATCGTTCAGCTATATAAGACAGATCCTTGCACATTGTTCAGCTGTATAAGACAGATCCCTGCACATTGTTCAGCTATATAAGACAGATCCCTGCACATTGTTCAGCTACAATAAGACAGATCCCTGCACATTGTTCAGCTGTATAAGACAGATCCCTGCACATTGTTCAGCTGTATAAGACAGATCCCTGCATATTGTTCAGATTTATGAGACAGATCCCTGCACATTGTTCAACTATATAAGACAGATCCCTGCACATTGTTCAGATTTATGAGACAGATCCCTGCACATTGTTCAGCTATATAAGACAGATCCCTGCACATTGTTCAGCTGTATAAGACAGATCCCTGCATATTGTTCAGATTTATGAGACAGATCCCTGCACATTGTTCAACTATATAAGACAGATCCCTGCACATTGTTCAGATTTATGAGACAGATCCCTGCACATTGTTCAGCTATATAAGACAGATCCCTGCACATTGTTCAGCTATATAAGACATATCACTGCACATTGTTCAGCTGTATAAGACAGATCCCTGCACATCGTTCAGCTATATAAGACAGATCCTTGCAAATTGTTCAGATTTATGAGACAGATCCCTGCACATTGTTCAGCTATATGAGACAGATCCCTGCACATTGTTCAGCTACAATAAGACAGATCTCTGCACATTGTTCAGCTGTATAAGACAGATCCCTGCACATTGTTCAGCTGTATAAGACAGATCCTTGCACATTGTTCAGATTTATAAGACAGATCCCTGCACATTGTTCAGATTTATGAGACAGATCCCTGCACATTGTTCAGATTTATGAGACAGATCCCTGCACATTGTTCAGATTTATTAGACAGATCCCTGCACATTGTTCAGCTATATAAGACAAATCCATGCACATTGTTCAGATTTATGAGACAGATCACTGCACATTGTTCAGCTACAATAAGACAGATCCCTGCATATTGTTCAGCTGTATAAGACAGATCGCTGCACATTGTTCAGATTTTTGAGACAGATCCCTGCACATTGTTCAGCTGTATAGGACAGATCCCCGCACGTTGTTCAGCTGTTTAATTCTGGTCCGTTTTTTGCTTTTCAGAATGATATCCTTATAGGTGTCTCAGGAAACAAAGTCCCCTCTGCAAAAATTGCCATGAAAAGTCTCAAGTGGGCCAAAGACAACAAGTGAGCCATCTAAGTTATTTCATTATTTACTTTTGGACAGAACCCAAAAATTCCCTACAAAAACAACTTTCTGTTCCTCATAATGCAACTGCAATTTCAGTTTATGAATCTCTTCCAAACTCACAGAGCAATGAATGGGTTTCTACTCCTATGAACCCTGTAAAGTTAATGTTTTTGTTGCTATTATTTTTACAGTTAGTGTCAATATGCTGCTCATTGAAACTTGACTCGTCTAATAACTATCAGACCACATGTATGTTAAGCATCTTCTCTTCTTAGTGATATGAGACGCAAAGATCAGACTGAATAAATTTGAATGGGTAAAGAGCTTATAAAAAATAGGCTTCTGAGGAGGGCTTGTTTTAGAGCTGAATTAAATCTGAGAGATCACTGGTTCTAAAGCTGTGTCTAGTAATGTCTGAATGTTTGTCATTTATTTATGGGCGCAAATAACAAGTTTTGAGTACATAACTCAAATAATGATTACTATAAACCATAATTCTTAAAATTTTTCAAATGATTATGTTGGTGCATGCATTGCTTTTTCCCTGTTCCATTACCAGTTGTTGCTCACATCATTACTTCATGCTGATTACAGGATACAAATACAAGTGGAGAGGGATCGGGTTCATCCCTTGGAGTTTTTGATCCCAGAACCTACCATGGCAAGGGTAACAGTTGTTCATTATTTTAATATTTTGTATATACTTTGTCTTATCACAGCCTTGATGTTCAAGTAGATACATTGTCTTAACACAGCCTTGAGGATCAACGGGGAACAAGATTGATTGTCTATGTTTATTATTTGCAAACTGTTGTGACTGAGACATCAATTGACACAAACGTAGGATCTGACAAGATTTTATTGCACTTCTTATAAGGGGTTGTTGGGGGGAAAGGGGGGGGGGGATTATTTTTATTACAGTGTTTCTACAACTTGTTATATCATAACATAAAGGTAGGATCAGCACCTTCACCTACCATTATAATCTTGTGAAGAGCAGTTTGAGTGACTCAGTGGCAGGAGTCAGTTCAAGGGTGGGAGGGGGAGAGAGGGTGCTAGTATTTATTTCTAAGCTTAATGTGTTCAGCTCGTGCGGAGATACTGATCTTCCATCGAGCGCCTCCCCAGGTGGCGGATAGGGGAAAGCCCACCAGATATGGAGGGTACCAGGGAAATAAAATACCTGGGGCGGACCAAAATCAGAACCTACTGCCTTGTAGGAAGTGGAGGGATCCACAAAGGCTAGGGAACCTTACCCAAAAACTAAGGCAGCTATCCAGAGAGCTGTAAGGGGCAACCCCCCAGACGGTTGTGCGCAGGGTTAACAACCCGGCCACGTAAAAAACCCAACGTTACGAAAGCCAAGCAACTGAACAAAACCCGGACTGATAACAATGGAAATCGACCTATGCATGGATATGGACATGATTTTTGGATTGCGACTTGGAATGTACTAAGCCTGTTTAGAGCAGGAGCCTTAGCCAACCTTATAAATCAGCTTGTCAAATACAAAATATCTATTGCTGCATTGCAAGAAATTCGGTGGAAAAATTCAGACAT